GTGCTGGCTGGCCCCCGCAGCGACGACGGCGGCCGCCGCAGCGGGGGCGCGAGCGCCGGCGGGAGCTTCGGCGCGAGCAGCGGCCTGCGCTGCTCAGAGGCGAGCATTGTGCCGCACGCGGAGGACGGCGGCGGCGCTCTCAGCCCCACAGCGGACTTCCGCCGCAGCTTCGCCGAGGCGCTGTCGGCCGCGGGCCTGCACGGCGGCCCCGCGCCGGCGTCGGCGTCAGAGTCGGACGATTGGACGCTGATAGAGGGGCTGGCCGCTGACCTGGAGAGGGCCGGGGAGGATGAGGAGGAGCAGGCGGGGGCCGCGCGGCGCCGCTGAGCGCGGCCGGGCCGTCGCTTGAGCGGCTGCGGCGTCTTTGGGCTGCGCGCTGTTAATCATCCGCTGCCCCTCCATGCCTGCGCCGCGGCGCAGCGCGGTTATGAGAGCGAGCACCGCTCGTCCCCGCCACCGCCGCGTGCAAGCATCTGCAGGATTGAGGAGGGGCGCTCAGGAGCCGGCCGCTCCGGGCCCTGTTGGCACGGCGCCTGCGCCTGCCCTGTTCGCCAGTCCGCATACAGTATGTTACTGTTAGCAAGACGCATCTTAAATTAGCGCGCCTGCGCCTCGCCGCCACGCACGACAGCACTCCACCCTTGATTGTGCTGGCACGCGCCAGAGTTTGTTGTACCCCATCGCTACTGCTGTTGTACCCTCCTTGTACCCACCTCAACCTTTAGGATCCCCAAGATTTTCCTTGCGAGCCCTGTCGCAAGGCGGTTGCCGCACAATGTCCATCAGTCGCACACGCAAGTCGCTGCGACGCCCTCATACAAACATAACAATGTACCCCCCAGCCCGTATGCGGGTGTGTGCCAGCCCGTGCGTGCCAGCGTGCTGACGCCGCCACTGTATGTGTGCGGGCGCCCTTACTCGCGGTCTCCCTCCTGCATGCCTTTGTTACAAATGACAATCAAGACTTGCCAAGAAGCGCTCAGGCACCCCGTAGGCCGCTGGGTTTCCAGGGCAGCAAGCGCCAACAGCAGGGGCCGCCTATGGCAGGGGAAGCCTCAAAGCCCTTCAGAGAATCCTGCCCAACTATTGCCCCACGCTTTGGTGGCGTTTTCGCAGCGCCCCGCGCTCTGTCATCAGGCACGCGACGCTCTCAGCCCTCCGTGCAACAGCGCGACCCGCCACAGGCCCATGGCTCACAGATGTCACACGATTTTAGGAGGCGCGTCGCAGGCTCAGCACAGGTGGTCAGACTGACAGGAGCCGCTGCAAGCCGTGGTGCCCAAACACAGCAGCGCTCGCGTTAAAAGCAGTGGTGCAATCCACCTGGGGTAGTCAGATTACGGCTGCGGATGCCTGTTACATTTTACTGGACACGGATGCAGCGCAACTAGATAGGAGATGGCGCGTGCGGCGATCAGCGCGCTGGACAGCCGATGAAAAGACGTCAACGCGCTCATGAGTGGGCCGTGGTCAAGCACTCAGCTGGGCAAGGGTGCATGACTCAACAACATACATGTGGTGGATGTCAGGGATCCAACAGCGCGGAACAGGGTGGGCCTTCCACTGCATGCGCATAGCTGCAAAGCAAAAGTGTTGCATGGCAGCCGGAAGCCAGGCGGGAGGGCAGAGCCAGCCAGAAGCTGGCGAGGGCCGGAGGGGAGGCAAACGCTGCTCCGTGGCCGCGCCTGCGCCCCCGTTGGCAAAAATGGGGTCGAGAGCAGGGTCAACCTGCGACGCCCGCCGCTTGTGCCATCACAGCCTGCTGTGCTTCCACGTGTGACACAACAACGCAACTCAAGGCCTGCAGGCTTGCAAATACGGGGCTGGCCTCCAGCACCTCGAACGAGCCCCTGCTCAAGCCTGTCAAACGCAGCATTTGCAGGCCGCCAAGCCAGGGCGCGGAAACCAGGTGCGCCGCCACGCCGGCCGACATGTCGGGCTCGAAATGCAGGCGAATTTCCCGCAGCGACCCCAGGGGAGCGGCGGCAAGCGCCCGCCACGCGGCCCCCTTGTGGTAAAAGCCGCCATCAACGGAATTCAATTCAAGATAGGTCAGCTGCGGCGCCCAACAGGCACGCGCCACCGAAGCTATGGACGCGTCTGTGTGCCGGCATCCACCAATTGAGAGGCTGTGCAAGGCTGCAAGGGGCGCGCAGGCGACCGCCGCCACTACGGCGTCTGCGTTGGCCGAGCTATTGCCGGTCTGCATTAGGCGCAGCTCCTGAAGACTGCCTGCGAGCCCCTCGGCCGCAAGCAGCGCAGCCACGCCGCGTGCTGTTAGCGCGTCTTGTCGCAACACCCCCATGTCACCCACGCGACCACCCGCATGCACCACGCGCAGGGACGGCAGAGCCACCTGGCCGAGGGCTGCCGCCGCAGAGTCGCTGAAAGGATCACAGTAGAATTCCAAATGCGTCAAGCAGGGCGCGCCGCAGCCTGCAAGGTCGTCAAATGTGGGCGGCTCGTTGCAATCAATGCTCAGCGATTGCAGCCTGCTAAACCAGGGTGCGCACATCATTGCACGCATGCCTGTCACGACGCGGCCGCCGGGATCAGACGTCAATTGGCCAAAGCCGCTGCTTTGATGGAAAGTCAGGTTGGTTAGGCGCCGCATTTTTAGCGCCGCCAGGGCGCCCAGCTCTGGCCGGGTGACGTGGCTGAGGGTCAGCTCCTGTTGTAGTGGAGGGTGGCGGGACAGAGCACGCTCATCGCAGCAGCCAAGCACCGTGAACATCGGCTAGAACGCACTCTCCGAGTTCCACGCAGCCGTGTGTGCATCAACACAGTCAAACCGCTGGCGGTCCCTAAGCTCGACACGCATCACCCCAACCCACCTGCAGCAGCCGCCAAGCCCCCAGGCGCAGAGCCGCATCAAAGCGCCCGAAGGGTACGTCTGCAGAAGCGGCACGTCTGCAGAAATCGCCTTTGAATACACACAGGCGCTCCAGCCAAGGCAGACGTGCCGCTGCAGCAACATACACTGCGTGGCAGTCGGGGGCCCGCTCGCTGCTGTCATAGACCATGACGTCGAGACTGGTCAGCTGCCACAGCGCCAGTGGCAGCCGCAGTCCCACCAGATCGAGCTGCATGCTGCCTTCTGCATGGGTGACGTCAAGAGTGTCGATGCGGCAGTGCCGCTCCAGGCTGGGGAGCGCCGTGGCGAGCGCGGCGACATCAGCTGCGCAGTGTGTCACGACGCTGAGCTCGAACAGTGTGCCCAGCCGGGGCGCAGCAGCGGCGAGGTCGGCGACGTGCGCCGCGCACTCAACGTTGACGCGCTGCAGGCAGCTGTCGCTGAAAGCCCTCGCCGCGCGGCTGGTCAGCCGCAGGGCTTGCACGTCTCCCTGACCAAGCAAGCGCCGCACGTGCTCCCCGACCTCGCGGGCCAGCGCAGGCGCTGCGCCGAACGGCCACAGCGTCGCTGCCTGGTTGGGAGCCAATCGCTGGTTCGAGCATTGTACGGCTTCCTGCTCAATGTCTGCCATGATTATGAATGCCCGGTGCTGTGATCTTCTCTTGTAGATCTAGGGGTGTAATATTTAGACTAATGATGGTGCGGAGCCCTAATTAGACTAATATCCCTAATTTACCTCATATGAGACTAATATTAAGCGCCAAGGTGATCTGATCAGTAAGTGGCTCGGACCTCTCAGGTTACGGTAGGGCAGTGCAGTAGCTCTTCTCAATCGTGAACAGTATGTATACACAGAAGCACACCTTAAATAAATCCCTGTTGCTTCTGGTGCGCAATGTGAGAGCTTTTCACTGTGACTTACAGTATTGACCCGCCCCTGGCCGCCCTGCGTGCCTCAGCCAGCGCAAAGGCTTTCAGGGCGCGAGGCATACCTTCATAACATGCGGTCTGCGGCGACACCGCTGTGGACAGCGGCGGCGGCAGCGGCATTGGCGGCGAGGCACAGGAGTACAGTATGGGTCAGATGGGTCAGAGCACTGAACCCCGCTGGCTGATGTGGACTTCCAGGGCAGCTGTGCACCCCATTTGCACATTCTGAGATCGCCACTGCCTTACTATGACAAAGCAAGGCAACATTACTAGACTGTGAAAGCATCACGCACACCCAGCAGCCACCACAGGGCTGGGGAGGGAATCCAGACCAGATCAGATCATTAATTAGGCCTAATTAGAGACAGGCGGGCGCAAAAGTTCGAATGTTAGGCTAATATTAGACCTAACCTAACAGTCTAACGTCTAAGTGTTACACCCCTATGTAGATCACGGTGCTGTCTGCTTCGAATGGACTATTATTATCACACCAGTGATGGGTTGCGGTACCAGATTTCAGATAGATGGTAGCAACCACCCGGGCACACGGTCAGGAGACGCATTTGAAGGGAATGGAAACACCGTTCCCAGGGATCCAGGCGAGCAGTGCGACTAGGGGAAGTCCCCTCTAGGGGACACCCACAAGTGCACCGCACACGACATGCATCTGCATGTGTGATATGTGCAGCACATGTGATTTTGCTGCTCCTTCCGTATTGCATTGCCTCTCCTGGGTTGGTCGCCATGCCGCAACACACGCGTGAGCCCAGCGACACCTAAATGACTGATGTGAGTTGCGAGGGAGAGGCATGGTTGAGAGCAGCATGACTTCTTCAGTGCTAGTGCACATGCTACATTTGGTACTGATGACTCGGGTGAGTGTGAAACATAGGTACGTCCTCACCCGTGCCGGCACGCACCTTGGCTGCAAGAGCGAGCAACTGCGCCCCCGCTGCCCATGCATGCCGCTGCCGCCGCAGGTCGGCGGTGCATGCAGCCGCAGCACCTCAGAGGGTCACTCAGGAGCCGGCACAGCCAGACCCTGTTGGCTCGGGGCCTGCACCGGCCCTGGCCGACCGCCTGCATTTTGTCGCCACTAGCAAGACACATCTTGAAAACGGCATGCCTGCGTGCGCATCTCGCCGGTACTCATAACAGCACCCAACACATGAAATTGTGTCAATCAGCATGGGTGCTCGCTCTCATGCCGGTGTCTGTTGTTCCCCACTGCAACTGCTGTTGTGCCCTCGTGATATCCGCCACGACCCTTCGGATCCCCAGCATTCTCCTTGCGCACCCTGTCGCAAGACGCGGTTGCCGCACTAAGTCCATGAGTCACATGCGCTAGTCGCGGCGACGCCCGTGTGCTGACGCCACGGCGTGCGGGCGCCCTCACGCACTCGCGGTTTGCCGTCCGCGTGCGTTTGTGATTAACGACAACCAAGAGTTGCTGGGAAGCACGCAAGCACCCCATTGGCCGGTGGCTTTTCAGGACAGCGAGCTTCAACACCAAGGGGCGCTAACGGCAGGGGGGGCCTGACAC